GATAATAATCATATTAATAAACATAAATGTGTTGTTATTAGAGACACTATTAATTTTTTTAAAAAGACTTGATTTAAACTTTCAAAACTAACGTACAAATTGGGCTGAGCTTAATGGCTAATTTAATTGGGAAATTAGTTGTAAATTACTGTGTTCGATTAGAAAATTATTATTATTATTGTTATTATTATTATTTGTATTTGTATTGTTGTAATTATGAAGTCATTAATCTTCGAGCTTCTCCATTATATCTTGAATGGGGTTTTATTGGAAAAAGTTTAAAAATGTAACTTTATACTTAAGACACATTACTTAATACACATAAGGAAATTTCATCAAAAAATGTAGTCAAGAGATTACAAAATGTAGTCAAGAGATAATTCTTTCCTAGCCATTTTCAATCATTCCTTGTAATGGTCCTTGGCCAAATTTGGGAGGAAATTTGAAGCAAGTTTAATTGAAATCTAGGCCTAAATGAACAATGAAGAAACTTGAAAAGTCCTTTAAAATTTAGAAACAACACAAATTATGCCATATTACAGTATACAATCACTTGACTGGAAAGGTGGACTGGAACACTGGAATGGAATACTGGAATGATTTTTGATTAATTTGATGCAGTATTAGGAACAAAGAATTGTTATGGGTAGTGGGCTATATAGTAGTAAAGTATAAACAGAAAGAAACCAGAACAGACTGGGGGCTCCTAACATAACTAGGGGCTCCTAACATAACTAGGGGCTCCTAACATTACTAGGGACTCCTAACATAAGTAGGGGACTCCTAACATAACTAGGGGACTTCTTATACAAAAATTATGTCTAATGCCTACACATTAATATTTGCAGTAGCTATTCCACTATTCCATTCCACCTTTCCAGTCCAGTGATTGTAGACAGCCCATATTACATTAGTGTATACACTACAACTGTACATGCAATAGAAATTTGTCTGACTACAAAAATGCCATATACTATAGTCAATAATAATATTATGTGCATATGAATAAATGTGGAAACTTGACCAAATGTTGAAGAAACTTACCTTAACCATGTAATATAGTTCCTAATCATGCTTAGGCAAGTTTAAACATTTCAAACGCATGGTTTTGCACAGGATTTTTGCATAGTGCTTAGCTTTTTGTGAGCAATTTTTTTAAAGTTACTCAAAACTCCTCAAAAAGAGAAGTCCCCGTACTATTCTCAATTTAAATTTTTCTGATACATTTAAGTCCTCCTTACTTCTTTTGTTAAATATCAATTTTGAGTTGATTTTAATTGTTTTTAAAGTTGCTTAAAATTTGTTCCAAGACCTTGCACTATTTTGGGTTTTTGTCCAAATTTTGTCAAAAAATAACTAGGAAAGAATTATCCATTTTAATCACTGTAACATTTTCTAACACAAAGCAAGAACGTTTGAACACATTTCTATTACATTTTGATGACAGAAGAATATCGGATGCTACAAGTTGTAAATGTATTTTTGGTGTGAGCAGTGAGCACATTCACTTACAAGAATTTTTGTTTTATCCTGATATCTAACTAGTAACTTAATTATCAAACATGGCAATAACTATGCATGAATTTAAACTGCTTATTCAAATGTCATCTGATAAAACTAACACATGTACATAAACTGACTCTGTTGTTATAAATAAAATATGAATTTATACTTAGTTTAAAGATCAGTAGAGAAGAATTTGTTCCTTATTGTGTTGTCATCATGGTCCGCTAATTTTGCCTATAGTTGGTACAGTAAGTCAGTTCATATAAAAGGAGGTAGACATAAGTAACAATCACCACATAAACTATATCTTATCACATTATTATAACAAGTAAAATGATATTGAATAGATGTCAGCTAGTAAAATGATGTATAATGATAATAATTCTTATTATTAATACTGTCAATGGAAACTGTCCTGATGATGACAAAGAGACAATTTCTCCAGTTGTTACCACTACCAGCACTTGCTACACCAAGTATGCATACAGTAATGAAGTGAAATAATTTTTGCAACTATTAACTAATAATTTCTAATCATAGAATGTGCAACGCAAACTGATTGTAAAGCATGGAAAGAACTGGGAAGCACACAGAATAGAGTATACCTCATAAAACCAGATAATGGACCAGCTTAATTTCCAAGTAATTTTTAGGGTATTATACTTTACATTCCTATACTATTGTTGGATCACAGGTATTCTGCAACATGGACACTGATGGTAGTGGATGGACTGTATTTCAGATGAGACAAGACGGATCTGTTGACTTGGGTAGATTATGAGTATGGGTTTAATAATCTTACTGGTAAGTTGTGATTAGGATTGAGCAAAATTCATCATCTTACTAAAGAAGGATCAAACACACTAACAGTGGACCTAGATTATGTGAACTACTCAAAATTCAGTATTAGTGACGGTAGTACTAAATATGTACTAACGGCAAGAGGATACTCTGATACTGCTGGAGATGGATTGATTAAAGATTACACTCGAAGCAACCATCATAATCACAGTGGAATGAAATCTCTACAAAAGATTCTGATAATGACAAGGGTAGCAGGCATTGTGCTAGTCACTGCATGGTGGTTTAATAATTGCCAACAATGTCACCTTAATGGTGGTTACCATAATCCAGCTGAAGCTGAAAACTGGTATAGATTTATATGGAATGTTTGGAAAGGCCTTGCATATAGTCTCAGCTTTACCGAGATAAAAACTACTCATAATAATTGAAACAATAACGTACATGTTGTGAGAGGATGTGTAGCATGTGTGTGAGTACATGCACATGTAGTTACTGTTAGGGCACAGTTGACATGATTATGTATAATTTATATTTAGTATAATTATTTAAATCCTTTATTAAAAAATTAATAATTATTCTAAAACATCATCAGTCTATATAAACTACATGCACATACATGTACATGTACACTGAAATACACAAAAGATTGAAATAAAGTTATGCATAATTATAAAGTAGAAATCATAACATTCTTTGTACCATTAACTCCTCCTAAGTCGTCTCATGATCACAAAGTCAGACCCAACCCCCTTTTGACTACGCATAATTTAATGGTAAGAGTGTATGCTGAACTTCTAATTTATTCTTCGGAACTAGATGTGCATGTACTATAAGTAAATCGATCATCACATGATCACAGCAACATACGAATGGTTGTGACTCAATTATGCAGTGCTTCAAAAATTAAGTGTCGGGAATAATGGAGTAAGTGATATTGTGTAACAAATGTGAATTAACTTCTATCATTCAACGAGGCCTTGGGATAATAGTTGTTAGCTAAACTACCTATTATGGTTGGTTAGAATGGTATAAAAGAACCATATTTTCTTCCTTTTAGTCAAGCACAAACAGAGTAATTATTAATCATTATCATCATTAATATTATCATGTATAATGAAACAACATGATGCAACTGTCGATGTTATAGTTAGCAAGCATGTGGTTTATAGTTTGATATTATTCTAGTATGAGTGAATGGAACATGACTGGCTGGTATCTCAGAAACAGACAACACTTCACCTAAAAACAAAACACATTGTATAAAAAAATAATACAGTACCGAAAGTGGTTTGTGTGCAAGCAATAACACAAACTAAATTCTTTTGATTCTAGAGACATGCAGCTCAGTACAGTGATGCATGTACAGGAAACCTAAACCAGGAAAATTTAAATTAGGAAACTTTAAAACTCACAAAATTTAATCTGCAAATTTATAGTTATTTTTCACAAATTGACTAAATTGTTCTCCATAACATTTTTCATGTAATTTTGAAGACAGCATGCATGTACATGTAGTCTTTTGTCATTTTGGTAATAGTGAATGTACAATGTGCATGTACATGTACATCCAGTTAATACGTTTACCTGTACACTTTTCAATCCTTTGTTTCCATTGGTTAGTCTGTAGAGTCCATAGTGTCTCTACCTCCAGTTTCTGTCTCTCAGCTATTAATAAGGCTTCCTTATGAAACCTGTCCCACACGTCCTGTACATACCCAGTTAATAGCCTCTCATCTTTGGTAGCATCAACCAGACCTCCTTTAAAATCCGATGGAGCAGCAGGAGAATTTGATTGGTCGTCTGTGTTTGTCTGTGGGAGGAGTCTCTCTATCAACACGGAGCAAAGACTGTGATTACTCAACAATGTTGGGTTGCGTATTTTATCATTTGCACGTAAAATTTCCTGCTCAAATGATATTAATAAATGATCCTGTGAGAGAGAGAGATGTTTAGTGGTTAGGTATAGTAACAGGAGTGAGGCGTACCACTTCAGTTAAATGAGAAGTTAATAATTTAATTCTCTCCATATCTTGTTCCACAAATAAATCAACACAACAAGATGATAATGGAGGATAGACCGACTGCATTGATGAGGGAGAGGAGAGAGATACATGTATAAAGTTAGAAGAGGAATAAACAATTAGTGAAAATTCAAGGGGTTGGTACATGTACATTATGTAAAATGGCTCCTAGCTTGTGTTTGAAACACGAAATGATAACAATGGTTGAAACCTTGCACATGTATAGTACATGTAATGTACAGTACTACAACCAATCCTATCTATTCCAGATACTTTGGGACCACATAACACTGTCCAAATTATTGAAGCATCCTTACTTAAGAGGTTAATTACAGCCTTGTTCATTAACACATTCAATTATGACTATCCACAATAGCAGGTTGGACAATAGAATGTCATTTAACAATATCTGTCACATGGAATCATCATGAGGTACAGTATACATGTACAACATATACTATAGTTACTGTAAGATCAAAGGCCCCGCCAGGTAGTATATTACGCATATACACCCCTGCCTTTGATATATACACCCCAGCCCTCGATATACACCTCGCATGGTTTTTAATGATATTCATAGTGCCACGTGGTGAAGAAATGGCTGCCTCAGTGCCTCTGCTCTTTCTCTTTGCTGCCCGACTTTAGGCCGTTTCTTTCTGTTCTTAGCGGCCAGTTTCTTGCAAGTAGCAAAGGACACTCTAATGACTAGAGCAGACCTCTTTTAGTCAGATTTACTCCATCGGTTGTCACTACCAATCATAAAATACACAAAGGCAGTCCTGTGCGATTTGATCTTACAGTAAGTATAGAATATATTATATGTACCATACCTTCTCGGTCTACATGTATATCAGTAATATGAGACCCTCGTCCCTCAATATCTTCCCTCGGCTTTGCCTCGGAAAGATACCTCGAGACTCATATTACTGATATAGACCTCGAAGGTATGGTATATATATTACATATAGCACTACCACAGATAGTGAATATATAGACCTTATTGGGTGCTAACTTCTGCAAGCAATTATAGATACCATATAAGAGATATTATTTGTAATCTTCCAAGCCCTTTCTGCATTCTTTAATGAAAAATGGTAAAACCAGGCAAAACCAATGGTTAGGAGGCCAAAAGCAGCCTTTGTGGACAAAATTGCTTTGAGTGCAGTGAAGCTTTTTCTCAGGAGACATTCTTGCCTTTATCTTATTACTGGCATTTATTGCAACTCAGGCCCACTAAAGCTCTTGATTGGTTTCCCTATGGATGTATACTGTAAACCTATCAATGTTAGCGGCTACTTTAGTTAGCGTTTATGAATTATCAAAAATTATCAAAAATGTTTACAACACACTCAAAATGTCAGTTTTTTTCAAATCCTTTTAGTATAATATCATTATTGTCTTTTAGGTGTGTGAATGACATCATTAGCCAGTTTCCATGTAGTGACTTTACAACAGAAGCGTGTTGGTCAACTTTTACATCAGCTATTTCTAATCCTAGTTCCAGAGCTTCTTTAACCTCAGTGGCATACCCTGGTAGATGACTTGGAAAGGAGGCAAATGGCAAGAAGCAGTAATAGTCTTAACAACAGTAATTTCTCTTTTGTCTTCCTTTCCAACAATAGGAACCTGCTTTGTGCCTTCTATTCACTCACAGGAACTAGCTTTGACCCAGTCTGGTCCCAGTTCAGTATCAGAGCTGGTGGAGTGGCCCACGTCTCAACTTCACTCTTTACTTTCTCAAGAAAAACATGCTTTATTTCAGGAAATTTTCAGGTAGCTTATCAGAGCTGGTGGAGTGGCCCACGTCTCAACTTCACTCTTTACTTTCTCAAGAAAAACATGCTTTATTTCAGGAAATTTTCAGGTAGCTTATGAGCAGCCTTTGTGCCTTTACGCTTAACATACCCAATTCGACGGAGAAATGATTCTGCCCAGGAAGAGCTTATAGAGATTGGGTCACCATGTTCCTTCAGGAGTACTGGGTTTTTATGAGACACAATGCCCTTAGCTGCAGCAATAACAATAGATCTATTTACAATGCCTCCTGCTTCTCTTAGGCTTTTAATATATCTAGATACGTCCTGATCATACTCAAGAAGCATTTGTGGCCTCCCCCTAGCTACATGTGCAAGGCTTGTGATTCTAGCAGGATCTTTCTCTTTCTTTAGCTTAGCTAGGTACTATATGTTTTCTTCATGTTCCTTACAGTACTCTCAGTAACATCAAATCTGAGCTACTTTGAAAATTTCTGTACTGCTGCTTTATTGCCACATTTGCAGGAATACTTGGCAATTTTAGCACGTGTTTCATCATCATAATGATAATAGATATGTCTTTTCCTTTTCTTATTAGCTTCCACAACCTTTTCCACTTCTCTGTAAGCTGCTGCTGTTGTTCCACTGGGTTCTCCTTCCTCTGGTAGCGTTGACGACCAAGCAGAAGAAAGCCATCTAATCAGCGACATCTTATGATCACGTGACTGGGTGTTTTTTATTAGCAAATATTAAATTTAGCGTTTTTAGGCTCTTTGCTAATATTGCTAAAATAAGTAGCACGCTAAAATTTGTAGTTTTAAAGTATGTAGTAGCCCGTAATGAAAGAATTACTATCAGAAGTTGGCACCCAAAAAGGACTATACATGTTTGTATAAATAATAATATCAAATATCAATAATAAAAATAATAATACCACAGTAACCAAACCTACATGTACATGTACACATACTCCTATAGTCCAGGACATACATGTACATGTACATATACATGTAAGACATGTCGGAAAAAAGTGTAAAAATGAGAATTCTTACTTAGTCATTTTTGACGAAATTTGGCCAAAAAATTAAAGCTTTAGCCTTTGGTTGTTGATCTCAGATTTCAGCAACTTAAAAAATTCATAAAATCCAATTTTGATAAAAATCATGAAGTTCAAAGTTGAAATGCAAAATAAGAAAATGTATATGCATCAAAAATTCTGAAAATGGAGAATTCTCTTGTGATACACATGTACATGTACATGTACTACAGGCTATAGCCATGCGCACCATCACACATTTAAAAATAAAGTGGTACATTAGTACTATATGCAACACAATGTACATGTACTTGTACATGCAAGTTCAATCAATAATGTACCTACATGTACCTTAGGGTCAGATTGCTGCTGTTCTTTCAATGTTGTATTAATCTGGTATTGTTTATTAGTAATCATAAAAGTGTTAAAATTGAATGGAGGGGCTGGAAAAGGAGGAGGATTAGCAGCATATTCCTTCCTTTGTTGTATGATCCTTGACTTGTACACTTTATTCATGATCCTCTTCTTAACTGGCTATAATACATATAAATAAAAATTAATAATAATTATTACATGTATATTTTTTTATCAACTCATTAAATGATGGTTTTATTGGTTACTATAATTAAAAGGCTTTTAAAGCGTGGGTGATTTGAGATTTTGATTCATGTTTCATGCTAGAGTAGAACCAAATTCTATCCCATGCAATGTCAACGTACATATTGTCAGCACTGGTGGCAATATTGTATCAGCTTTAAGAATACATGTAACTTACTAAAACTTGATTGGACTCTTTTTTAGTACTTTTATCATCTAATAAAGTAAAAAAAACACGTATTAAATGTACAAGTATAGTGTGAATGAAATTTAGAACAGTACTTCTTTATTGTAAATATTGATGTACACATATATTGTAGTACTCACATAATCACAGCCACAACGTCACATACACGTACATATAATAATTTTATTAGGATCAGCTCAAACTTGATATACATGTACATGTAATAACAGAAAACGTAATAAAAAGAAAGAATTCCCTCCTAGCCATTTAAAAAAAAAGAGACAGACTATATAACTACTTGCACATGTGGTAACAAGAGTATTCTTGGTACAATTGAAAGAACACTCACCAACTGATCTTTCACTTTCAGCTACGGGGGGCGGAGACTTTACCATAGAAGAAGATGCGACAGCAATTGATGGAGGAGACTTTAGTTGATGTCTCCCATCTGAGAAATGAGCTGATTTATAATTTGATGATGGAGGTTCTTCAGATCTCCCTCTACGCAGCGGTAACCCAGACTTGAGTGAATTAATTAACAATGTTGATGGAGTGGGTGTGGCTGTTAAAGGAGTGTGGTCAGTTGCCATTGGAGATAAAGATGGAGCCGGACTCTGAGACCGCGAGGAGGCTCGAGAACTGAAAACGAGAGGAAGTGAGGTTGAGAATGACACCACTGTGGACATAGAGTCTTCATCATCTGGCAACAAAGTCATGGTATCTTGTACTGCTTTATCATCACTGCTTGCTCCACCTTTCTTCAAATCATCCCCTTGATTAGGATCATCAATGTCCTTAACATTAGATACACCCCCACTAGTAATGGAGAGGCTACACACATCTGTATCAATATTACCAGACCCAGCATCAGAGGGGCTAAGGGGGCAGGTACGATTAGAATCGGTTGATGTGAGCAAATGAACTTTATCAATTGAAATATTAACAATAAGACTGGATACTGCCTGATCCTTACAACCAGTGGCATCCACTGGGAACTTACTTTCATCAGAAAAAGACTCTTTAGGAGACTGGCTTGCATCAGTAGGAGATTGAGATCCAGTCACAGGAGATTGAGATCCGTTTTTTGGAGACTGAGTTTGAGACTCTGGTTGATCCACTGTCGACTGGTCTTCCAGTGAATTGAAGGATCGATCAACAGTGGCATTGGATCCACCCACTCCAGACTGTAATACAGACAGTGATACATCCATTGATTCCACTGTATCCATTGGACTAGAGAGACCTTCTGGTGAACGTTCTTCAGGGCCCAGTTTAGCAGGAGCTTCGACTTGAAACACATCATCTTCAGTATTGTCATCACCATCATCAGTATTATTATTATCATGAACAATTACTGGCATTGTGATACTGACACTTTGTGACTGGTCAATGGAAGGCCGGTTAATGGTAGACTGATTAGTCGTAGACTGGTCAATGGTAGACTGGTTATTGGTAGACTGGTCAATGGTAGACTGGACAATAGGAGGCTGCTCTATAGTAGACTGGACAACGGTAGGCTGCTCAGTGGTAGACTGGTCAACAGTAGATTCTGTGGTAGACTGGTCATTGGTAGATACATGTATGACAGAATCAGTACATGCATTTGACTGACTACCGGTAGTGGATTCAGTAATTAATACACCATCAATATTATCATTATTATTATTATCATCAGAAGTATTATTCTCATTATTTTCAAAGCTCTCTCCATTTGTTTCTAATTTCAACTGAACTGGTTTCAATGGGTGTGACCTCACAGCTCCTCCCGCTTCCTTATTTCCAGGAGATTGATTATCATGAACACTCTCAGAAGAACTCTTTTTCTTTGTAACCTGACTGGTGGGTGGAGTCATGACAAAACTGTTGCCCTGTCGTCTTGGACGCCGACGAGAGATATTATGAGAGGGAGGGGTCTGGGATACAAAAAGTGGGTGTGGCAATTTGTCATCTCTTTTATTTCCATTCACATTGCTTGGTGTTGTTGGAGGAGCATTATCTAGAAACTTGATCAATAAGTTCCGAACATGCTCATCAGTACAGAGGTCCAATGGAGTTTTATTGTGTGTATTGGGTATACTGGCATTAGCTCCTTTATCTAACAGCAATTGAACAACCTACAGAAATACAAGTGTACATGTACATTATAGTAATTAATAGTGTACAAGCAAACAATAACTTTTAAGTAAAGATATAATATTGTGTATACCAACTTACCAAGCATATACACATAAAGATGTATGTCAGAGTTAAATACTGACAAAAATAAAGCAAATTTTGGTACAGTACATACATTGTACATGCACAGTTACAGCACTGGTCAGCAATAAGTTGACACGTTTTGCGTTTAAGTTGCATTTGAGTTTGCTATAGTTAATTGTTTTCATAGAAACATACTAGTTGTAAACTAACATTATCCATGCTCAAATGCTACCACAGTCTCTGGCAAATGTAACTTGTGTATATTCAAACATAATGTGGTTGCTTATCTATGTATTATCACATTTTATTATGTTCACCAAACTAGTTTACTCTAGTTCAGCTATCATTGTTGGTCAACTTATTGCTGACCAGTGCCGTACATGTACATGAACATCTAAAAATAGATAATAAAATTACAAACAAATCAATACATGTACATGTACATATTAACAGGCTCTCCCGTCTGAGAGAGCCTGCTTATGAGAGCAAAAAGAGTGGCAAGAATGGCAATAGGATGATGTTTTATACCTGTTTTATATCTATTATGCATATACATGTATACACCATACAATGTACATGTACATGCACAAATATTACTTATTTTATTTGATTCTAGGTTTGTGTAGTATTATTTTAATGATGAGAATGTTTGCTCATGATAGGATGATGTACATGTACATGTACATGTACTGTTCAAAGTACATGTACATGTAATCTGTATTCCTTATCAAATAGAGTAGGTCTCTGAATTACACATACACAGACATGAGTACAGCATAAAGTGATATGCCAATATGTTACAACTGTCATAATTCTCAGCAGACATTAATAAGAACAATACATGTCATAATAATAATAATGTACGATGTACAATTTATACTAATGCACAAGTAATACTAGTAGTATGCAATACTACAAGTACCAGTAGCATTACTATATAAAAAGCAATTACTGAGAATGCTAACCAATATACTGTAAGTGTGTACCAAAGCACTACACAGTGTTAATAGTAACAAGATGTGCATGTACATTTACATGTAGTTCAAGGAATAATCTATTATTGGCAGGATGTGTATAACACTGTAAGGCAAAGGGCCAAATACACGTGCATGCATTAATAATACACATACATGTAAATGTTATGTATGTAAAATAACTTTTAAAATCAAGTATGTTAATTGTTTGATTTATGTGTACATATAAAGTTGACACATAGAATTTAAAACATCATGCAATATAATTGCTGCAGTGCTACACTCTGGTCAAATGTCAATAAAGGCACATGATAAGTTAAATCAAGAGTACCCTATTATGTACTCTTAGTTATATAAACCAGAAGAGTCACTAATACACTCATGCAGCCATGGTTGTATCAGTTTTCTCAAAATATGCATTGTCCTTTAATGACGCAATGTACATATAGATTAATAGACTTTCCAAACTGAGAGAGCTTGCTCATGAGAGAAAAAAGAGTGAGAAGGATGGTAACAGACATGTACATGTACACACAATGTATATGAATGAATATCAAAGATTGAGTCAATGCAGGTCAAAAATGTACACAGTTATTAACTATTTTAATTATATTAGTAATAATTAATAATTATATTAATAATAATTAATTGGAAAAGGAAGTGACCAAAAGTATATAAAGGAGACACAGACCAAGTCAATCTCCACTATTATTATTATTATTATTATCATTAATATAAGATATCAATAATGAAGCTCATACTAGCATCAATATTACTGGTGTGCATTATATACTCAGTACAGGGGATGTACATTCAAGAGGGTACCTGCACTGCAGCTAAAGACCTGGTTCTCTGCATTGACCCTGAAAAGACTGGATGTAGAGATTTTGAAAATGGACAGGTATGCATACACATCCATTACATGTACTTTATTTTGTTATCTATATCAGTTCTTGAAGCTAGATGAATGCTGTGAAACAGCAGGCAGAAGTTACTTTACTGATAAAGAAGAATGTCTTGAATGGTAAAGACAGGGGATCTGTTAAACACAGAGGGTCCTCTGGGGGTTAATATTTATGTATCATCTTTTCTTTATTTCTCATAGTCCTAAATAAGTGCTCCTTGAGGCAATGGATCAAGACAAGAACTGTACTTAATAACAACTATTATTTAGAAAACTTTAGTTTAAAAATAGTTTCCCTACAATCTCATTAATGCTGAACATTATTAACATAAACATTATTGTTATTATTATCATTATTATTATTATTAACTCTGCTGCTGCTTTAAATTTAAAATAAAGTGTTTAAAACTCAAGAAATGAACTAATAAAAATACAGCAAGTACAATACATCAATGACAGCTATTATTCCCATATACATGTACATATACATGCATAAACTTAATACAAATTTTAAAAAGTGCTTAAAGTGATACTGACACTGTGTACGGATATCGAAACATTTTTCGTAAAATTGATGACAAAACGGCAGAACTAATGCAAAGTTTTTTTGAGCACTGTATTAATCAAAGCTAATTTACATCACATGTAAACGTACAAATGCATTGAAGACACATACTTCATGTAAATTAAGATTTTTAGCAATCAGTAACTCTTGCATGTGTACTGTAAATATGGTACATGTGGAGCTTGCAAATCCAAATCTTGCTTTCCATGGAGACAATGTGTAAAGACTTTTTCAGAATCATTAGAGGGTAAAGTTACAGTGCATGTACATGTACATGTATACGACATGTACTAATAAAGCGTCTTTATTTCAAATAATAATCAATAAATTGATAGAATGTATTGTTCACACATGCCAAGCATATGCTACTCTCAATGCATGTTAATAGTTCTATGAATTATACCACAGACTGTTACTAATGCTGTAACAAAATAAATATGAAATTAATTACTACCGAAATACTATTAACAGTCCATAATCCATAAAGATCGACACATACAATGCACATGTAAATGGACTTTATAGAGATACATGTACATGTACATGTATCTTAGAATGTAGACTATGGCTCCTTCCTTCACTGGTTTTCCATAACTCTTACTTTTATTGCATAGATACAATCAAGAGTATGTATAATTGTATGCGCATGTGCATGTACTGTACATGTACATGCATGTACATGTATATTAATAGTACTTTTAGGGTACATATAGGTGACATGCATTAACTTACAGTAATTGTCATTATGATCAATAACAATCCCAATATTTATCATAATGACAAAATACATGTTTGACAAAAGAAACTCCCACACCTACTGTGCATGTTCATGTACATGGCACGTACATGTACATGCATGTGTACTTCAATCCTACTGTACAAATTTAGCAGTGATCTTTAAAATGCTAAATTGAGGTGATGCCAAATATTAATTAATTTATTGAGTGCATGTGACATAAAATGAAGGCTTTCAAACGGGAGATCAAACTAGAGAACAATTATGCATAGTTTAATTTCTGTACAAATAACAGCAAGATAAGGCTAAAGTACTGTCCAAAGACTTCTCTTGCAGCAAGAAATTAGATATAAAATCTTCACCATCGACATAAAGCCAGTAAAGGATTAGCAAAAGACATTATGCACATACCACTACATGTGTCAATATGTTTCATGTATAACCAAAAATCCCCATCCGTGGTGTTTATAATATTTCAAGCATGTATGTGTCATTTTTATTTCTTAAGAAATAGACTTCATACATGTACATGCAATATGTATACAAGTACATGTACATTATACATGTATACATAAATTACTTAAATACGAACCAAACTTCTAATACCGATCAAAATTATAAAATAGCTATTACTGCAGTAGCTGAACGCTGTCAGTGTGTGTGTGTGTGTGTGTGTGCATGTGTTTGAGGTGTGTGTAGTATATTGAAATTCACTGAAACTACAAACACTAGTATCAGCCAATGTCACGTAGTGAATCAATTAATTAAACTAATAATAACAATTAAGTAGAACAGGAAGTGACCAAAAGTATATAAAGGAGACACAGACCAAGTCAATCTCCACTATTATTATTATTATTATCATTAATAGATATCAATAATGAAGCTCATACTAGCATCAATATTACTGGTGTGCATTATATACTCAGTACAAGCCAGTTGGGTACAGGACTATTACACAAACAAGGTAAAGTCAGAACAGGAGAATGAACTGGTGGTGTGTATCGCAGAGGACCAGAAATCATGTGAATGTCTTGAAGGTGCACAGGTATGTACATGTACATGTACACATACAGTGTATTGTAAAGCATACAATTGTGAATTGTACTGTGCACATGCACCAACTAACATAAATGCAAAAGGACTTCTACATAAACACATGCTAATCATTTATCTATATAAACTTAAAATGATGCAGTTATTACTACACGTACTATTATTATTGTGTGTAGGTTATTGCTTTTGAGGAGTGCTGCAAGGATGTTCAAGTCTGCAGGCTATTTTCTGGGGAGGACAAAGAATGCCGGAAATGGTAAATAAATAAATACATGTAAATAAATAAATAAATGATATTTCTTTTCTAGTGGTACGTGTCCATAATGATCGAGGGAGCTATAATGAGCAAATTAAAGCAGAGACACAATAATAATAATAATAACAATAAATACATGTACCTATTGCTGCTATAATTAATAATCATCAATAATAATAATAATAATTAGTAATATCATTATCATAATTATTATTATTATTTTGAAGACAATTTAGACTTATAGTTACAACATTCCCTTTTGTGCCATTAATAAATTAATTAGTTACAGAATATTAAAAATCATCATAGCCACAGCGATAATGTTAGTATGAAATCAATTATTTCAGCAAAAATAAACAAACAAGTACTGACTGCAACACACAAATCAAAGTGGACTCACAGTACACATACATAATATAAATTAATACATTACCTTTAAGTGAGAGTTCATCACAGCATCATGCAAAGGAGTGTCTCCTCCCATGCCAGGGGCATTAATTAGAACATCATTATCCAGTAATATAGATACAATATCAACATGTCCATGATTACATGCTTCATGTAAAGGGGTCCAACCTATATACATGTAGTAACAACACCACTATATCATGCTACTAATATACAGTACATGTAGAAACATGATTGTACTCTACGTACTATTAGCTGTGCTAATTAGGCATGCATATATACAACAAGCATATTATTAGTGTAAAAATATTACTATAAATTGTTTTCACCACCTTGCATGTACAGCTGGGTTCTCATTTAGACTTATAGCAAATTACTGAAATTAGCAGTTCTCCCTACATTCTAATGCTTCTAGAAAAATCTTTAGATAGTATCTCTATGCTCTCTTGCTGTTAAAAGGCTCAGAAACTTTGTCCCATTTGTAATTCACCATTATGCACACCCCTTTTATGTCAAGGGCATACAGGGTGGACGGTTGCTAAGGCCTTTCAAATTCTTCATTCTATAATACAACATGCACATGTACATGTATATAAGTGTTTTGATGACATACATGTCATAAAAATAAATTATTTTCTCTAACTGTACATGTAGATGTACACATATGTGCATGTACACTGTACATGTACACATGTGAACATGTATTATTGCAAATGCATTTCGTATACTGTAAGTATAAGTACAGTACGTGTACATGTAGGTACTAACCTGCATAGTCAGTACTGTTAGGATCAGCTCCTTGTTCCAATAATGATACCACGCTTGACCTGTCCCCACGAATACAAGCCAAATGAAGAAGAGTCTCCCCTCTCTCATTCCTCTTGTGTACTCTACTTTTAGTGGGCGTGTCTCTTGGAGATGACTCCACACTATGAGATCCTACACTGCTGGCCTCACCTACATGTACATGTACATGTACAAAACAACTAAATTACCAAATAAGTACAATAGCATTATCAGCTAGTTTATTACATGTATATACTGTACATTTACATGTACATGCATATACACATAATAAATGTATAATTTGGTTTCACTAATTTTTTACAGGCAGTTTTTACCATCTAAATGTCAAAACTGAAAACTCACAGACATGCTGGCTGGGTCATTGACTAGTTAATTAATAAAGGAATGTGAATATTGATGAATGTTACATTGATGCATGCATGTACATGTTGCATCAAGGGTTAAATTCCCACAAGGAAATGAACTACTGTAAATGGCAGCGCACTCCAGCTGACATGTATTTTTATGATATAAAAATGAAGAACTCTCTCCTACCCTAGCCACTTTTAACAAAACACACTGGGCTATATACAATACATGTACAGTAGTACAGGTTAGTCTTTGGCCCAATATCTCAGCAACTTACATCCACTCACAAGAAGCTGCATGAGCACTATGCCAAAATCTGTGGAAATTATAACCTTATAGAAATTTTGGGGCAAATTAAAAAATTTAAAAAAAGTCATTGATCAGAATAAACCAACACTTTCTAAACAAAATAAAATGTACATGTACATGTACTTCAATGGCAAAGACAACACTTTAAATTGCATTATCATGTGTACATGTATATCAAGTACATGTGTGTACAGTCTCATTACCTGGGCTAGTATTAACATCATTCATTTGCTTCAGTAGTGCTAGCTGCTGTCTTTCAGTCAGTAATGGTTTGAATGTACTGGTAGGAGGTGACATTAACAATGATGATGTACTACGTCTTCGTTTTGAGGAACCTGATTTATCATCTAAAGAAACTGAGAGTGAGAAAGAGGACAAAAAGAATTACATGTACATGTACATACATGTACATGTACTTTGTGAATAGGATGACTATAATGTCAAAATTAGTTTAAAAATAAAGCAAATAGCTATACATATTAAATGGACAATTACTGTACATGCACATGTATGTAAAGTGGGAGTGTATATGTAGGCCAAACAAAATATGTACTTATGCAAAAGTAAAGTAGCTGCAGAGTGGCTATGCATGTTCACGTACTTACATGTACATGTACATGTGGCTTTTTTCAACTGTACTGTACATGTATGGGAGGCCAAATGCCTCATAAACTCCCACTAGATGTAAACGATGTGTACTAATGTACTGTACATTATTATTATTATTATTATTATTATTATCATAAAATAACATAAGAGAATACATGTAACTCATTGATAACAATGTTATGATGAGAAAAGAGGGAAAGCCCTAGGGAACAATATAAAAAAAAGGAAAGAAATACAAGAAGACAAAGAGAAGTGGGAATTAAGAAAAAGGAAGACAGTTAGATTCTCCCATCCACATTAATATTATTTTATTTTATTATGAAAAGGAAAGAAACAGCAAAACAAAAAAATAAACAAAAACAAGACAAATAAAGACAAAAGGTTAAAGGCATCCATCCACTGTTAATTATTATTATCTTTACAATATGTCTACGTGGTCATCGTTCTAGATTTATCCGAAATACGAGGAATGTGGCTGCTTCGGTTGATCTTGTTACGTCAGTGTCAGGCTTATCCCACTCAATAGTCTAACATTGTAATATTTTTATATTTCCTTCCAAACCATTTTTCTTCTTACTGGCTACAAAGTTTATTCCAAATTTTATTTTACTTTAACTTCTTAAATCTCTTTGCTCTATTCTCTATTATCTTTCTCTTATTCTCCTCTAACTTATCCTACTACTCAGTCATAGAATTTCTATCAGCATTAATGTTCTTTTTGTAACCAGTATACTTGACTTTTTGAAAAATTGTTAGGTACTAATAAAAATTATTGGGACAAGCCCGAGCGAGCCCCATATAAACGAGACGAGTATGTATGTATGTATGTATGTATGTATGTATGTATGTTTGTTTGTTTGTTTGTTTGTACACGTACGTCACCCCTATTTATCCGTATGAAAAATTTTCCACTTTTTAATAAACTTTTAATATTTCATTAAAAACAGGTGGGGTCACAGTGAAATAAAATGGCGGCTCAGTATCATAACTGGAAATTCTTGCAAGACTGATTCGACTATAGTGTACTGCTGTCCAAATGCAGCAAGGAAAGTTAAGAAAGCAGACATGCCAATGTCTGCTTTCTTAACTTTCAAAAAAATTCAAGCTCACCCCATTAATGCATTACATTCAACTATAGTTATTATTATTGTTATTATAACAAAATCAGAGACAATGCGGGAGACAAAAGAGAGAGACAAACAGGGAAAGCCCATAAGGAAAGAAAAATAGAAATGAAAACTAGGGACAAACAATTATTACTACTATTTATTATTATTATTATTATTATTATTATTATTATTATTATTATTATTATTATCAAAAATACACACAAGGAGAGAGCAAGTTAGAATGAATATATACATATATATATGTAGTTTGAGGGAAAGTCAGAAAAAGATGTATAGAAATATTTCAAATATTTAAAATTAGTACATATAGTTAAGACTTATCCCAGCTCCATTATTATTATTATTATTATTATTATTATTATTATTATTATTATTATTATTGATACTTTAAAAGACAGAGAAAAAGGACAAGGAAACTACAGAAAGACAATGAAAGTTGAGGGTACATCAAGCAAAGTTGGGACCATGGAAATGTAAAACAATGAGAACTATATGTATATTTAATATTAAAGAGAAGGAGGAATGGGATAAGAGATACAGAACATAAATCTGCTACATACATATACACGTACATTGAACTTACGTTCATGAGGAGGTGTAACTGATTGTAACTTTCTCTTCCCAGTTCTACCAGATATTAGTCTTGTAGGAGTGACTTGAGGTACTAACTATAAGGAAAGTATGATTACAATAGACATTTACTATATTTACATGCACATGTATATGTAAAAATTCTCATTTTTCAATTCCAGCAAAATTTGGTCCAAGACCATATACATGTATAATGTATATGTACATGTACATGTAGTACAAAGATTTTGGCCTAAGTTGGAACAGAAAAATTATAAAAAATAGAGAATTCTGTCATTTTCACATTTGACAAAAATATAAACGCGTAAGTACTGTAAATGACAAACTTGTTTCTACAGTTACATACCCATCATTTATTATTCTATCAATTTATTGTAATAATTAAAAATTTAATGAATATTAATGAAGCTGTCCACCCAGTGGCGCTACGGCACCCAAATCAGCCCCACCTGTGACAGAGAACCACATGCATGAATCAAAATTATTTAAGTAGCCCAAGCTTTTCATTACTGAAAACATCAAGAGTACATACATGTAACAAAATCCAATAAAACATATATATAGCATAATATTAATTACATTAGCAGGATTGGTTGATGATGAATTGTTGCCAGCTGACTCTTGGAAGGTTCCTTTATCATCAACTTGTTCCTTTTTGCTATCCTTACCATCCATGACTAACAATATTAAGAAGGAGAACTCAAGCTATTGACACAAATTAAACCAGTATTGACTAGTATCGAGAATTCAACGTCCCGCCAAATTATACTACTCAGCACGAGGACTCCATTTTTGGGTGTGTCGATTTATTAGGTGTGTTCAGAGGCGGGGTTTAATATTACACGTGTTGCCATGTCCTTCTGTAAGGCTCTGGTTAATCACCCACTTCGTCTTGTCTCCCTCTGTAAAGGTTTCAGTTCTATAGGGTCCTTTTCTCATATTCAGAAGGACTGGGACGAGTATTATCAACCAGAGACCTGGCTGACTAGTTTCGAGACCGGGGAACGACTCGGCATATTCAAACTTGATAACAGAGTGTTCTCTTGCTCTCCTCGTCTGGACATACTCCAGCGTGTCGTTATATGGCAGCTGGCCAAGAAAAGAGCCGGTACGGCTAAAGTGAAGACAAGAGGAGAAGTTAGAGGAGGCGGTCGTAAGCCGTGGCCCCAGAAAGGACATGGTCAAGCAAGACAAGGTTCAATTCGAGCGCCTCATTGGAAGGGAGGTGGAGTAGTTCATGGGCCTAGAGGTAATGCCGATTACAGCTATACGCTACCAAAGAAGGTAAAGGCATTGGGTCTGTGTACAGCACTGTCAGTGAAATATACTCAGAACGACCTCATGGTAGTTGATGACCTCACTGTGAACAACAATAATACAAAGAACTTGTTAAGAATACTAGATATACACGGATTGAAGTCAGTTCTACTTGTTGATGGAGGGGACTATGTCAACATGTCCATTGCTATGTCAGGAGGTAATATACCTCATGTTGATCTGCTACCGTCAACCGGGTTGAATGTTGTTAGCATATTGTCACGTGACAAACTAGTACTTACATTAGGAGCTGTGAGAATGATTGAGAACAGACTCTGTAATCTATTGTATTAAGTTATCATTAATTTTTATTATTATTAGTAATAATTCATAATAATATTATTGTTATTATTTATTATTAAAACAAAACTGTCACAGTAGGAGATGGTGTGTGTGGACAGATCATTATAAATAAGTCAAGCAGCTCCAGTACAGCAGCTAGGGACCATCATTTTCAATTTTAGTATCACTTGATTCCTTCACACTAGTAGCACTAGCACTGCTCACAGGTGGACCTATTGGTGGGAGTGGATGATTTGCAATAGGTAGGTATAGTCTAACCTGAAGGAGTAGGGAAAGGTCCTTGTCCAGTTATGTGTGCATTGAGTGCTTGTTCCTTCAAAACTGGATCTACAAATGTATAAGATGTAAAATACACAATTACATTCACATCTGTACATGTACATGTGTATACTTTCATAATCAGTTAGTTTTGCTATTGCAACAAAATTACATACATGTACAAGTACATATCTGTAATAAAAGAGCTACATGTACATTAATTACATGTACATGTATGTTGTTAAAGCAATTACATACTATAATCACAATTATTATCAGTACGCACAATTCTACAGGGAGTTATATTAGGCAATACAAGTAACACCACTGGCACAATATTCACTAACTACTATCAGGTACAATAGTAAACATACACATGTACTGTACATCATAGGCGGCTGCAGGATTTCACTGCAAGTAGGGCAAAGGTGTGGCTGAAAGTGGGAGTGGTCAAAAAGTAGGTGTGGCCATGACCACACCCACATGTCTTGCTCTTGAGTTTTAAGACTTTTAAGAATTCTATTTCAGCATTTTGTGAAGAAATCAAGTTGAAAGAGGCTCTGAAATTCTCAATGAAGAGTTACCCTGCCATTCTTGTGTTCAAGAGGAGAAAATTCAGTACCTAAAAGACCTCTATCAATGATAGAGTATCAGTAGCTAGGTGATTTAGCTGTTAAATGAGTCCTAGCTGATAATAATGAAGCTGCTATATGATGGAGTCAGTTACTCTAGCTGCAGGTTACTGTAGATTATGTCTTCCTGAAGTGGCCATAGATATGGACCTATGAAGTGGCTGGCTGGCTTCCTGTGAATAAACCATGCAGTTAGCAGCTTATTCTTCACTAATTATCACTTTGTTGAGCAAAATAATGTAGTTTTTGTCATTAAAATAGCTATATTCCATGTAATAACTACTAAATAATTATTAATTAACTGCTAATTATGATGATGTCATCTTCCGGTAAGAAATTCTAGTAGGGCATTGCCCTCATTGCCTGCCCCTGCAGCCGCCTATGCTGTACATGTATCAATACAATACAATATATGGCACAGAGTCTTAAAATGCCAGCATTTAGAGCATTATTCTTTCTAGTATGTAACCATGCAATAATAAGTAAAAATGGAAATACAATGATTCACTTAAGATTTAAGAATGTAGTCACTGTGTACTTATTAATTAAGCAAAGCACATAATATTCATTTTAAAATCACTATTATTCATGTACAAGTCGGCCTTTCCAGTGATTAGTGTGGATGAGGACTATGTAGTTATAGAGTGGTGTCTGTCTTTCATTTTGTCCACCACAACTCTCACATGGAGGGATGTAGGATAAATCTTCAGTATTAAGGATTTCAGCAGTATAAATCTTCGAGCAGTTAGTCCAAGAGATACCATCTACTCTATCAATCAAGATCTGATACTTTAACTAACTGGACTATGACAATCAAAATTTGACACTTTCACTGTACTGTGACAATTGAATGCTGTGTCACACCTAAGCACAATCACATTTAAATAAAGATGCAATCAACACTATAGCAAGCACCTTATTATTACGCACAATGTACACACAGTGGTAATATGCAGGAAAATTTAGTTTTGAAATCATAAATGTAAAAAAAAATTGTTTTTTGTTGCTTTGACAAGGAATACATGTACACTGAAAACACGTAGAGAAACATTAAAGCTAGCCAATAGTAAAGGATACCTTCCTTTATTCCAACACCAACAATCTTTTATAAATCACTCTAGCGGTACATTGTACATGTGCATGTATTTTCAAGACTCTTGTATATGCATGTACACAAACACCATACATTGTACACTTACATGTAACACATTACTGTACACGCTTTTAATATTAATAATAAAAATGTGTTGCTGCTTACAAAAGTAAGGGTGACCCATTGCCTCTTTAGCCGATAGTCTTTCTCGATGATCATAACGTAATAGTTTATCAAGTAGATCCAGTGCTTCTCTGCTCACTAAGTGCTGGTTCTCACCATGAACATATCTCTCCCACCTCTTCCTTGAATGTCTAAATAAATAAATCAATTAACAATAAATGATTAGCAGAAAAAACATTGACGACTATTATTTTAAGTAGACATTTTTCGAAAAAAGTTAAGCAAAAAACCTAAATATTAATTCATCTATTAATTTTTACATGTACATTGTAAATGTGTTGTACAAGAACCAAGAAACATTCTGACACATGCACACATATGGACATGTACTGTACATGTACATTCATGCACATGTACTACATGTATGTACCATACATGCCATAATATTTCCTGGTGATTAAATTTCATAATTTTCACATTTTGGAAAAATCTGCAAAATTAAAATCCTAAAAATAGCGTGCTGATTATATAGTAGGTGTGGTAATTACATTAAAATCGCAAAAAAATTTTTAATTGCAAATACAAAAATGCAGCCAAATCACAAAATTTTATACACACAAATATACATGCAGCATATACGGTATGCATGCACATTACAAAAATTAAATATGCTTCTGTACCTTCCCAGTGTGTCAGAGAACCTTGGATCAAGATCAATCTTGTACCTGTCAATGTACTCATAGAGCTCCTCAGTACCAAGAACTTTACCAATTCTCACCAACTATAAGTACATGTACATTATAATAAGAACAATAATCCAGGCCTGCACCCCCCTAACAGACTACACTCAACTAACCTGATCATAATTATCATGACCATGGAAGAATGGTTCCTTCTTAAATATCTACAATTGATTATCACAAAAACATAAAAATTACACATGCAATTGCAATCAAATGCATGCAGGTGTGCATATGTACATGTACTGTACATGCACATGTACATCTCAATTTTGATTCTGAAAATAAATACCTTACATTCATTTACTGAATACATGTATACATGTACATGTACATGTAACTAGTACCATAGCCAGTAATTTTTAGGGTAAAATTTTAGCAAATTATTACTATACTGTAAATTTTTGGTGATAGTGGGTTTTAATTTGAAAATTTGTGTCCATAGGCCATTCAGCATGCATAATGTCAAAGAGCTTTAATGTAAATGCCAAACTTTGACTTCCATCCACTAGCTATTGGTGTTTTCATGACATGTACATGTACAGTACATGTACTGTACTAATCATTTAATTGAAAGCATATGTACATGCACTTACCATGCTAGCCAGCATGCATCCAAAGCTCCACATATCCAGTGAGTAGTCATATTCTTGTAAATCAACGAGGAGTTCAGGTCCTTTGAAGTACCTGGATGCAACACGTACATTGTATTCTTGATTTGGATGATAAAACTCAGCCAATCCCCAATCAATGAGACGTAACTATACATGTACATGTATAATAGAAACAAAAAATGCCATACATGTTGCTATTACTGGAATAAAGTGCATTAATTACAATGAAATTAACTAATTAAATAAAATATATACATGTAATGTAAAATTGCATATTGTATAACTACACTTTTATTTTAATGACTGTTTTATTAACTTGCACTAACCATCAGCTGTGGAATCACAAACATGTATATGCACTATACATATACAATGTACATGTACATGTACCATAGCGGCAAATTTCGAGGCAGTTAAATTTGAAAATATGATAATGGATAATTTTAGTTTAGCAAATTTGTGGCCACATACACTGTGTGCTATTGAGGATGTGCATAATGGCTCAAAATGGCAGATTTTTATTTCGGTAAATCTATCGAAACACCAAATTCACCAAATTTAACTCTGTACAATGTTTCCCACTACATGGTACATATACATATACAAGTGACATTAACTGGTTTAGGGTGATGTGCATCATTTAGAAAAAAACTAACTTTGCGTTGTTCATGATCAATCATGACGTTGTGTGGTTTCACATCTCTATGCATGATCCCCATGCTGTGGGCATAGTCCAGTGCCTTTAGCAGCTCGTACAGGTAATAGCGAATATCAAAATCAGTTAATGAGGTATAGAGCTTCTTGAAATCAGTGTTATTAACATGTTCAAAAACAAGAGCTGGAGTCCTAGACTGTAATGAAGATATGCATGTAAAATACATAAACATACAGGTAATTCAGTACATTGTACATGTACAATGTAAATTAATGTACTGTACATTGTATAGCAGATTTGCGACATGCATGTTTTAGCAGATTTGCAAAAAATTAAGTACACACAAATTTCGAAAGATTTTTGCTGACACATCACTTGTAAAGCTGTCATATTATCATCAATCTTGTATGACGAATTTTAAGACAACATAATATTGGGGCTCTAACGGTAAATGAACTTCAAAAATTCATCAGTATCAGATTTAATACATGCACATGTATACAGACATCTTCTCAAGAGACTTACCCAAGGGTCTTTAACTACATCAATTAGATTTATTATATTGGGACCACCTCTTAAATTTTCTAATATTTTAATTTCTCTTTTAATCTTCTTCTTTTTGACAGGCTAAGAGAGAAAGAGAGATGTATAAATAAAAAGGAGTTAAATTGATTACATGTACAATACATGTACATAAGGGAGGAGAGACAGTAATTTTACCTTAAGTACTTTAATGACCACCTTCTCATTAGTAGCTACACTGATGCCCTCAAATACCTCACTGTACTTACCACGACCCAATTTACAAACTAACTGAAAATTGTCCTGGTTCCTATAGACCATAAGGATACATTTATAATTAATGTTATGAACATGTAATTGTCAATCACACTGCACATGTCATCTACAAAACATACATTGTACATGTAGTACATTGGGGCCCAAACATAATAATTCCCAACACTATGTGTACATAAAGACTATTAAACAATTATGAGAATTACTATTGTGCCCTTTTATTTAAAATCAAAACAAGAATATAACTACGAGTAACATACAATGTACATAATACATTGTACATGTAACTCACCCCCATTCAATAGGATGTGATTCATAGTCCCAGTATTCTCTCGGTTTGTGTGTGTTGACATCAGCATATACACGAGCTAAACTACCAGACATCTTTACATAGAAACAGTATGATAATAACCAAGTTCAGGACACTCTAGCGGTTTACACTCACTCTCTTGTGATGAGAAGGTGGTAGGGGGATTGCCGGCTCCTTTAACGCCACTGTTACTGTACTGATTACCAACAAAGAGAGAGAGAGAGGGACAGGGACAGAGAAGAAGAAAGAACGAGACCTCAAGAAATGTCTCGCCTGCTTTGATTAATTGATTGATTTGATTGCTGCGTTGGAGTAACTGAAATAATTTCTTTTCATTTGTTTAATTGGAAAACAAAATGGCGAGTGGGCGTGACTCTGCAAAGCTCCAGGCAGCAGAGAAACTTGAAGAAGAAGCCAAGAAATGGTCAGATTCTACTATTATCATTTATTTATATTCATTATCTCTTTAGCTTAAAGACCAGTTTGTTCAAGTGGAGTCCAGATTATGAATCTGCTGCCAATAAATTTGAGAAAGCTGGTATGTATATATATATTTACATGCATATTATGCATGTAGATGTTAATTTAAATTAAAGTCCTTACATGGCTTAATTGCATGCATTATCATTTCTATACTGTAAGTGAGCCAATTTCTTACACAATTCACGAGTATGGTAATTGAAAGGTGTGGTTGTCAAAGTGGTTTTTCACTACCGTAATTTTTGTGCTTTGTTAATTTCATTATTTTTATGCTTTTTGGAACACCTTGAAAATTTTGACATACTGTACTTACATGTAAGAGCATGTACGGTATGAAAAAACATTAAAAAACATTTGCTGCTATCACTACCGTGGTAGCAGCAAATGGAGGGACTAAATTTTGGCAAATTGCTAAATTTTGGTGATTGGCGGCTTTTAATTTGGCAAATTCGCCATTGAGCATACGCATAATGGCTCAAATTGGCATATTTTAATTTTGGTGAATGGCTATCAAAATTAATTCCCTCCAAAATTTCCCACTATACGGCACATGTACACAAATTTGCACAAAGCATGCTAAGTGAGCTAAACAGGATGCTTGAGCTAACAAGTACATGTAGATGTACTGTACATAGCATTTGGAACAAATTTTAAAGTACATGTACTGTACATATAAGAGCATGTACAGGTACACATGTACATGTATGCTTGTGTATCAAAAAATTATTTCAAAAGTAGAATTCCCTTTAAAACCAATTGAAAATTTAGAGCCACTGTTTACTTGTATGTGCTTTAATTCATATAATTTTAGGTATACATGTACATGTTCATGTACATTTAAATCTTATTATTTATTTATACAAAATTTTTGTATAATTTCTTTGGTCACAATTACAGTTATTACTTTTTTTATTAGCTATTTCTTATCGTAACTGTCAAGTCTATGATAAAGCAGTTGCTGCATATTTAAAAGCATCAGAAGCTTATTATGACAATAATTCGTATCCTAATAGTAATGCTAATAATAATGATAATAATAGGTGTAATAATGCATTGTATAAATTATTAACACAGTTATTGTCCTTAGCATAATGACAGCATTTATCATTCTGGCAAGTAAGTTTTTAAAATTATTATTATTAGTTAAATTATTAATTAATTAATCAGGAGTCTTGAACAAGCTGCTAATGTTTCTCGGGTAAGTTTGTTGCTATGTATGTATACATTACATGACTATACACGATTATTTTCTAGGATGCTAAAGATTTATTAAATGCTGGACAGTACATGAGTAAAGCCTGGTAGGTCTAAAGTATACTTGTACATGTATGCATAATGTACATGCATTTTGCATGCATTTGCATCCTGTTGCACACTCATAAAAATAACTACAATGCACAACAAATACTATAGAATAACTACAATGCACAACAAATACTATAGATCTATAGTATTTGTTGTGCATTGTAGTTATTTTTATGAGTGTGCAACAGGCAATTAACCCAATTTGTCCTTTGTTAATTTTTTCTGGGCATGAGTTTTGAATTACAATTGTGAAACATTTACTGTATAAAGCTAATTTTGTACCCCTAAAATACTATTTACACATACATGTACATGTAACCTCAAAAATTATTGTTGATTAAGTAGCCAGAAATAGCTATATAATGTACATTGTTCATGTACGATACATATACCATTTTAATAATAATTGAAATTATTAACTTATAGTGAACGGTTCAATGAAAGTGGTTATCCTGATACTGGAGGTCAAGTACTAGCTAAAGCAGCAATGTAGGTCCTTATTCACATGTATATTATACTATCGTTATTTTATTCATATTTTCATGCATGTTTCCTAAAATGTCTCATTTTGCAATTTTACATTTTATTTGTAAAAAGGTTCCAAAAAGTTTTTTATTGTAATTTTGTGGGAGTTAAGGGAAAGAATTTTTGCATTCATGTTCAAATTGTCATTGTTGTCGTTTTCTTAATTGTTTGTTATTATTTTAGCTTGTATACATGTACTGTATATGTTATTCTAATCAAAACTTTTGCTATGGGTATTTTTGTGGAGCCCAACAAAAAAGCAAGACAATAATCATGACTTTATTATTATTTATTAGGTGGCTACAGCACGAGCATCCTGATAAATCAGCCGAGTATTACATACAAACAGCTGACAATCTTCTATTAGATGATAAGAAGAGGGAGAGTGGTAATGCAATGAAAGATGCAGTCAGAATGTACTGCAGAGTAAGACCAAGACAGTAAGTCATGATCACTGTTAGATTTAAGGGAAGTTTAGTCTGACATATTTGGTTTTAGGCCTCTTTAAATCTCCCATTTTTCAGCCTTCGATTTCTCATTCATGTACATGTATGCATTAGACTCCCAAAATTTATTTTTGGATTTATTAATGAATAAGTCCTCTTTTAATCGTGCGCCTGATTCAGCTCAAAATTTATGCACATACATGTACATGTACATGTACAATGTAAGCCTCCAGGAATCCATAATGTACAGTACGTCATGCAATAAAATTGGGGCTGTTTTGGAGCCATTTTTTTAAAGAAAAGCATATGTACATGTATGTACATGTATATACAGTACATTGTGTTTTATAATTTTTCAAATTGTAAAATATGTGAGCGGACTGTATTTTTTTAATTTTTAGATCAAACAAAATAATTGAAACTTGTCGTAAAGCTCGCGAGATATTATTATCAGCTGGAATGATCAACATAGCCCATGAAGTAAGAATGATATGATTATAATTGGACTGTCATAATTTTATTGTTTATCTCTAATAGTTGGTAAGTGTTGAAATTGTAGCATTGTTGACTGAAGGTAATGGACTACAGGCAAAGGAAGTGTTGCAAGAATGTGAAAAGTAAAAACACATGTACACGTGTACATGTAGTCATATGCTTATCATATACATGTACATGTACATGTAGCACTTTAATTTCACTGACAATACACCTGAATTTTTCATGAAAATAACTTTTTCCAATTCGCAATGTTTGCTTGCTCCATGAAAGTAGTGGGATACATGTACATGTACTGCAATAAATTCTTTATTTTTCAGAATTTATTATTGAAAGAACTTATTCTGTCTTATTATTTCTTGCATGTTTGTCAAAACTTTTAGTATGCACTTGATAGAATTACAATTGTACATGTACATACATGTTCATGTACAGTGTAATTGCTTGTACGTATACGCAAATTTGGTGAATTGCTAAAATTTTGGTGATTGGTGAATTTTAATTTGGCGAAATTGTGGCCACATCCCATTGAGCATATATATGGCTCAAAATTTGGATTTTTATTTTGGCGAATGGCTATCAAAACACCAAATTCACCAAATTTGATCCCCTCCAAAATTTCCCGCTATACAGTAGATCTGTATTTTAGCACCTCCAAAATTTCCCATTATACGGTACCATGTACATAGTACATGTATATTTATAATGACTTTGCCCAATTACAATGTAGTGAAAATTATGTACATGTATATAATAATTATGGATATACATGTACATGTACAGTAACTCTGTTATGCATGTGTATGCTCATGTTCGTGTACATGTACACATGTATTAATTAACTCTGACTTTCTTTTGTATTTTCCAATGTTTTATTTAATTTAATTTTATTTATTTTATATTTTTGTTAGTATTGAGGGGTTTTCTACCAGTGAGGATTACACAGTACTGGATGAGTTGATTGATGCGGTTACTAATAATGATGAAGAATCAATAGCACAATCTTGTAACAGTCACATATTCCGAGCTATGGATCCTGAAGTAAGTTTACCTGTACCATACTGTGCATACTGCCACACGCATTGCCACAAATTTACCAAATTAAAATTTACCATAATTATCAGCATTACACATCTACAATACTTGTACATGTACATACGAACAAATAATACAAAACAAATATAAATAACAAAATTTTATAAACAATCAAATATTGTTCAATGTAGAGTGTACATGTACATGTACTTGTACATGTACATGTACGTGTGTAATACATGTATGTAAATTCAAGAGGTATGAGATTCAAATTCATAAAATTTTTGTTTGATAGATTTTCAACGTTATTATAGATTGTACACATATACAGTAGTTCTTAATTTTTTTGCTGTACATTGTACAAAACCTTATGACAATGATGGCGCACGACCACACACATTGCCAAAAATTTACTAAAATTATCAGCTTTACACATCTACTGTACATGCATATGTACACACAAATATTATTACTTTGATGTACATGTACATATATTTGTAGTTTGCCAAGTTCGTTCGTGATCTTAAAGATGGTACAGAATCAGCTGCTCCAGTTAGATCTGCCCCTTCAAAGAAAGGAGAAGGAACGTCCTTCAGTAGTAAAGCTGGTCCTGTTAACATGAAGGACCCATCAGTACTAGCTGACAGAAGGAATGAACTGTTTGCTAGGAAAGACAAGAAACAGACTACTGGTAGTGTGAAACAGCCATCACCACCACGTCGACCTGATATTGATCATAACACTGATACAGATCGTACTACTAATCCTGATACTGATCGTGATCGTGATGATCTAGTTACTGATGTTGATCCTAATCCTGATGCTGATCCTGATCAAAGTGCTGATCGCAATACTGATGCTAATCCACCTGGTGAAGAAGAAAGTGATGATGATGATCAAAACATTGATATCAATTAATTATTATTGATTTTATAATAGAAAGAAACATAATGCCTCATTTAATTTTCATTGATGTTTTATTCATTATTGTGTGCTAATTTAATTTTGTTTGGAAGCCACACCTCAACTAATTTAATTTTATAAGTGTCAAAGGATGGGCCACTTTTCTCAGTTGTCTGTACTATTATTGATCCATGCCCTTTTGGCCTTGTGTCACTTATCTAATAGACTAGCCACTGGTAGTTTGGGACCATTAGATAATGGAGATGACGACGGATACTGCTATGATGAGTCCTGCTCAAGGAGAGATAGCGTGAAGCAGGAGAAGAGAGATGTCAAGACTAGAGGGAGGACAGGTTTATCCGGTATACTTAGTAACGCTTATGATATCGTTGCATCAGTCGGTGAAGCAGCAATAAATACAGTGCATAAACTCTCTAGCGAAGTACTGGAAGATATTGGTGATATTGTAAAGACTGTAATTAATGAAGAGGCATTGAATGCCATAATAAGTGCTGGTAATGGTGCTCTTAGTCTGATCTTTGACTCAAGTGAGTGTCGTATTCATTTCTAATTCAGTAGGCCATTGCATTATGCTTATAGTCGAGTGCTTACTTTTTTAATTACTGGTTTTTTTCTATAAAAATGTCTGAGTTTTCAGTAGTGTATCCACTCTTGGTAATTGTTATAAGCCTGGTTTACACCCACCATAAAATTCAATGCAAATGAACGCAAGATTAAATTTTGGCCAATTTTGTGTCAAATTCAAAGCTTTTTTGCATCAATGCCTATGCAATTTTGCTTGTTTCGTTGAATGTAAACCTAGCTTAACTGCTATTAGAAAGCTTGGTAAAATTTGAAACTTTTGAGCAACATTGATCACTGTATAAAGCATACATTACATGGCAGAGAATAAAATTTTCTTTTACTGTTTCCCAATGAATATCATAAAAGTGTACATCTCATTCACATAGATTTGGTTGATTAGTCAATATGAGTAATAGGATATACATGTAGTATGCTATAGCTGTTGAAATTATCAAAACTATTACTATTACTGTTCAACTATGTCACAATTGTTATTGTCACCACTCACCAACTACATGTACTAAAATGAGTAAATTCTAATGTACATGTATAACACCAGTCACTAGTTGAAATTCATTTCAATTCTTTTTGTTGCCTACAATGTACTAAAAATGTCAGTCTTTATCAATTTTCAATAATATTAGCTCTCCAAAAGTTGCAGCCTACTATTTTTCCAATATCCTTATGCATCGTAGGAATCAATTGTCATTATTGCAAGCAATAATACATTTTTTTATTCTTGTAGATAAAGCAGTTACTGGATTTGGTTCAACAGTTCTATCAGTATCAATACTAGTGGGAGTTATCTTTATAAATTATTTACTGGCATCTTATTTTTCATTGCTCAGTATATTAATATTAGATGCTGGTATAATACTACTTCATGGAATGTTTGGACCACTCCAACTAGCTAAATGGTTTATTACTGGCTGCAGTCATATATCCCAAGGACTGATATACATCATCTATTATCCTTACTTTTCAGCTATAGTGCTCATGCTTTTGTTTATATTCAGTTGCTGTTGTTGGCCGTATTTGAGACGCCAGTCGAGATATCTCAGGAACTCATCAGACACTGTATTTGTGATTGAAGCTCAACTGGAGAGGCTCGAGGCTCATCTTGCAAGACTAGAGACAGAGAGGAAGGAAAGAGATAAAGAAATAAAAGCTCAACTTGATAGAATAGAGAGAATATTAGAGAAAAATAATACTTGCACTGCTACTTTACATGAGCAATGATTTTATTTTTATTCTACATGTACATTTTAACATAGATATACTACCACGTTGTATCACGTGGACAACCACTTTACTTTAAACACACCTACCTACTCCACCCACCAAATTACATGTGAATGCCTGTAACGCCATATTTCCTTCAGTAAATCCTTCATAAATATCTAGCATGAGTTCTAGCACTAGTGAATACCATCAGATTACAGCATCTTCCCAAAAAGTGTAAGATAGAGTGCGTGTGAGTAAAAGAATAACAACCTTAGCTTGTGCAGTACTGAACTAAATGATAACCTCTACTCTTTTCTATTCTTAGTATATTGAATGGTAATGGAGTCCCTCATACTTTACATCAGTTAGAAGTATCAGTTTATTCAAGTAATTGTTATGACACTGACTCTACTGATGGGAGTGGAAAGGTACAGTTGTACAATTATTATTATCATTATTACCGTATACATTCAAATCAATGAAATCTGCTCAAAAGTTAATATTTGTGTGAGCCAATTTTTGTGTTTGGCCATAGTCTAATACTTACATGTACATGTACAATAGAATTGCATTAGAGGTGGTTTAAATTTCGTAGATTTAAGGTGAGCATGAAAATAACGGAATTTAATACACATTAAAAATTAAGATGCGTACAGTATTATTAACAAAAAAGGAACGCGAACAACAATGACAAATAAAGAGACACAAAGTACACGAAATTAATTAAAGAAAGTTGGTAGGATTTTAAACCCATCCTCTGTTTGGGTTATTATTCAAACCACTCATATCAGTTCTTAGACTGCATTTTGAAGACCTTTCTGTTCAGAGACTGAGAGAATTTGTTGAATTTAGGATTTAAAATAATTGAGTTTTAAAAGTGCACTTTGTATTAGCCCCAGCTTGAAAATTTGGCTCAGAAATCATCCCTAGTTTTATTACATTATCTAGTAGAGCAATGAAAAGGCCCATGTACATGTACATGTACAGTAATAATTATGTCATATTTTTAGGTTCGTGTTAAAACTATTACTAACCAGAATTGGGAGCCTAAACGTTTCCGTGGTAACATTGTCGCTAGCAACAGCCAGTACTTGGCCTATGTCCTAGCCAGTAGAAGTGGTTATGTCATTAGACTCATTCACCTTCAGACGAATGACAGAGCATTGTTGAAGAAGTTCAATGGAGAGATATTGGACATATCATTTGCACATAATCATTCAAATTTATTAGGAGTGATCGATGAGGCTGGTAATTTGTACGTGTATGATATTGACAAAACAAATGGAGATATTAATAAAATAAAGTAATTACATGTGTATAATAATATTGGTAATAATAAAAATAATAATGTGTATTATATTTTGAAGTACATGTACATGTACATGTAAGTGGGATATCTTTTACATTATTGTGTTCATGTACATTGTGAACAAGGAACATGCATGTTCTTACATGTACATGTACATGTTGTTTAGAAATTATGCATGTACATGTACATGTATGTACAATGTAGCTGATTTTGAACAAAAATAATAGTGCATAAAAAATTTTACCCAAATCACTAGGAGATCATTCTCAATTTTTTTTTACTTTTTTGATGTGTGTAAGAGATGGTGCATGTGTGTTATCCTCTACATCAACTTTGATATTTTTATTTAAATTCCTTTATAAAGCGTTTTTTTTTAAATTTTTCTATAGTGATTGTTTGAAGCTACACATATTCAATGGTGTTATACCTGATGGTAAGACTCATTTGTTGGTGTGGGCCCCGTACATACAGACACAGCAGGACAGTGGAGATGATGATAATGTCATGATTGCAGTTTCACATGATTCCAGAGTAATTGATTGCATATCTAATTGATTGTACATGTACCTTAGCTTACATGTATATAGATGTACAATGTACATGTAGCTGCTAATTTGTTATGCCATAAATTGAACCAGCCAGTTTCACTATAGGTACTGTTACCTTCACCAAACATTCATGTGCATGCTGAATTTTTCCCACAGGGATATATTTTACCAAATTTCCCTATTCCAAAATTATCAGCTATGCAGTACATGTACAGTACATGTATTTCTACTGTGTATTCTGAATTTTAAATGGTTAGGTGGTTTTGACGTTTTTTGTAATAAATAATTAGTATTTAGAAAGTTACAGATAATTTTTTGAGAAAAGTTAGATTGTCTTATTTTCATTGGGTGAAGCCCACTAAGATGAGTAGAGTTTGTTTGTATGTATGTACATGTATGCCTGTACACGTACATATTCCTTATCTTCTCTGTATATCTGCACATGCTAGAGCAATGCAATAGATTCTAAATTTCAATATTTCGTTGAAAGTGTGGGCGGCTGAAAGACAATAAAATGGTGATCAACACACGGGAATTACAAGTCATGAGTTTCCTACTTCCTAGCAACAAGATAAGGCAAAAACACCGTTGAAAGACTACTTGAACTGCTTTAAAAGGTTACAGGTGCAATTAAGTAACTATGAAACCCGTTTTTGTTGAGATAAACTGTGAAAGTCAAACAAATGTCACCTTTGTCACTGACTGCACTAAACTGGCCAGCCTTTTTATATCTCATGGCTATTTCTAAGTCAATGTATAGTCGGTTTCAGTTGAGAAGAAACCACCACTATCCCTTATAACTTTTTTGTTACTATTGATAGCAACTTGAAATTTGGTATAGCTGCATTGCAGGCTCTTCCGAAAATCTTAACCAATTTTTGAGTTTCTAAGTACTCTGGAAGGTTTTAAACAAGTTTTTCTGCTTGAGATGAAAGGGAGCTACCATGATGTATAGGGTGTGTCACTCTGATGAATATTATTTGCATCTCATTATATTTAGTCAAAAATAATATTTTTTATTAAAAAAATAAAACAAAGTATATCAAGCTCTCTAGACCTGCTAATATTAGTAACGCGGTAGCGTTACTAAGTAGGATTCACCCCACTTCAAAATGGCTGCCATGACTTTTGCAGCCTTGCTATACCGGGAAAACGAGCTCCTATGCTTACCAGACTTTATAAAGGACCTTATCTTGACCAGAGGACTCCATTGGTACCATTAGCGTGGCTCTATACCTTGTCTGAGAGGAAAGTCAAAAATCTGCAAACCGGCCGTTTTGTTCAGCCACCTTTTTTCATCTTCATCATCTTGATCTCCTGTCAATCCAGTTGTCGGTCGCTATCTCGATCTTGCCTGGTGAAAGAAGGCTAATACTTACATCATTCTGCTCCAATAAGGTATGCGCAGGTCCCTATTCTTTACAACAATTCTCCAAGAAAGAAAGAAATTGTACTGTCACTGCTGGATCTGGCCCATCTTAGCTGCATGCCACCATTTTGTTAATTAAAGAAGCATGTGCTCCAAAATTTGGGTGTGGTCGCGCATGCTCAGATCTGCCCATAGATAATAGAGTATAAAGGGATTGGTAACTGCGTAGGCGGTAGTTATCACCGTATAGATTCTAATTTTCCGCATTCAATAATTACAATGCGGAAGTCAAAGGAGAAGAGCCAAATTTTGCCAGAGAATGACAGGTTTATAGGATTTCAAAAGAGCATATCAATACCATTACTAGCCAGTTCACTAAAGCAATATGCTACCTGTTGCATATGTTTCTTTCCTAGCTTAAATATTTACTGTTTCGGAGAAAAAGGTACAGAAACTTTGTCACTTTTACAACACAAAATTTGAGTTTCTGGAGAAGATGTATGAACTACAAGTCTGAGAATACCCTAGTTCCACGCAACTCAAAGCGCTTGATTGTTCTATGCTTGCTACTTTGTTGTAAAACAAGATACATTTTAGTAAAAGGTACAGAACATCAGAAAAGAGGTCCCGCTTGACACCCGCTGTTAGTAATGAATGAAACAGTTTGTTCCTTTTGAGTAACTGTATGAAATTTTGATTGATAAATATAGAAGTTATAAGGTATTTTATGCATATTTTTGTTGATTTTTTGCAACTACTTGGACTAAGTTATGAACAGAGAAAAGTGGACCTCTCCCGTTGCTAAGGAGAAACTAGGATGCGGGAAGTGATAACTTTACCCTCCATTGGTTTATACAGGCCGCCCACGCAGTTTCCAATCCCTTTATACTCTAATATCTATGGATCTGCCACAGATAATAGAGTAAATAGAGTAAATAGAGTAATAGTAGTAGTTCATTTACTCTAATATCTATGGATTTGCAGCTCTGGAAGAAGCGAGTTATTTTTTACCAAGCTATGCTTGGAATCAACTACTGCAATACTTTAGTGGAGGTTTCCAGCTAAAAGAAGGTATTAGTTTTACATGTTACTGTTTTATCAAGTGTGTTATTTTATTTAAAAAAAACAAACAATTAATTAATGTTATGACTTATGATATGCAATGATAATTATGAACTTGACAACAGCCTGGAAGAACAGGAATAGCAGGGAAGATGGACACTCTTAGTTCACAGATTCTTGAACAAGGACTTGTGTCAAGACTAATATTAGTTTCACTTGTCATCAGTATAGTTGATATTCCTTCAGCATGTCTATTCAATGCTGTCTCTCATAAATGTCATAGCAATGATAATAATAATAATAATAAAGAAAATTATTGTTTGTGTAAAGTCAACAAGTATCACAATTGCAACTAAAGAAATACTATAAATATTATTAAAAAATCAACACAAACAAGAACATAAAAAATTTTGAAAAACAAGGTTAAGTAGGATTCCGAATGAACAACAAAAATACAAAATGGAAATCCTACTCGTGACGCAAATTCTACTCTACATTGCAAGGTGATCCGTAATTCTTACATAATAACATTAAAAGTACAATGTAGAGTAGAATTTGCGTCACAAGTAGGATTTTCATTTTGTATTTTCGTTGGTCGTTCGGAATCCTACTTAACCTTGTTTTTTAAAATTTTTTATGTTCTTGTTCAACTAGGAGCCTTTTCTTGAGAAAAATGTGCTATATCACTCCACAGTCTTTGCAATCTTTGTTGTTCTTCATTGCCCATGCACTTGTTGAATTATCAGTATTCACCAAAACCAAGAAAAGGATATGTGGAGGTAGCAGCAACTACAGTAGAGGCACAATAGATGATAAAGTAAGTTAAAAGAGAAGAAACACTCCAAGAATGATAGAGCTTGCACTCGGCAGCCATACTTGGCTACACGTGACGTTTTAATGACAAAAAAATTGATTTACTTCCGTTTCTTCTCAACTTAAACCGACAATTGCAAGGCTTAAAGCAACAAACAAGTCAGGAGTTTTCTAGCAGCAACATAAGGTAGAGATTCTGCTTTTTTGGCAGCTAATAATCTACAAGGCTGAGCCCTTTAATGTTTTACATAGTTTCTTGTAGTTTTCAACACTTTTACACATACAGTGTACGTACATGTACATGTACACTGTATCTGTATGTACATGTAGATGTACCTGTACATATACATGTACATGTAGCTGCTAATGTTTAATGCTATAAATGATCACATATTCATTAAATTGAACAAGCCAGTTTCACTATAATATTCACCAAATTTCCCATCCCAAAATTATCAGTTATACAGTACATGCATGTATACATGTACATGTACATGTATTTCTACTGTGTGTTCTTAATTCTAGATGGTTAGGTGGTTTTGACGTTTTTGTAATTAATAATTAGTACAATGTATTTGGAAAGTTAAAGATAATTAGTTGGGAAAAGTTAGATTGTCTTATTTTCATATTTTTTAATTCTTTTATAATTGTTCACACATACAGTGTACATGTACAATGTACATGTACTGTATGTGTACATGGTATATGTACAGTAGATCAGTGAGTCACTTTAATTTATTTGTATGTACATATTCTATTGTTCATAGGTTGAAGTGTTTGACCTACCAGAGATTGCTCAAAGATATTCCTCTGGTATTGCATTGGATTTCAATAAAATGGAAAGAGGAACAACATTTATTAAATCAGCACATACTAAGGTAATGAATGATGTAGTTAATGTTTATTAGTAACCATTTATATGTACATGTACATGTACATGTACATGTACATTGTTGTGTCTGTTAGTCTGTCCTCAAGTTGTGGTTGGACTATAGCTACAATTACATGTGTAAAGTTATCAACGTACCTGTACAATTTACATGCATGTACATGTATATCATGTATGTGTACATGTACATAGGAAGCTCATCAGCAAACTCTCAGATGGGAGGGTTTACTAAACTACATGTACGTACTTACTGTATGCTATATGTTCTGTATATTACATGTTGTCAATTTTTAAAGGGTAACTGCAATGTATTTTTTGGATATCTATTTTATGGTCTTAATATGATTGCCTGACCATAATAATGATGTGTTGCAACTCCTATTGTCTAAAAAAATTTATTCACTGAGATATGAGCCTTCAAATATGTTGCTTCAATGTTACTTCCTGTCGGTGGGTGTGGCTAAACGTGACGTCATAAGAGGCATAGATGCAGATAAATGCATTGCTATGCAGGGGGAAATAATCCTTTATTCTCATGCCTAGTAATGT